GCTTCGCGATTGATCAACAGAATGGCAAGTTCTGCAAAAAAAACAAAAGGAAATGAAAAATGACTGGTCAAATTAAATTCACCTGCAAAGATTAGTGCATTTCAGGTTCATGCTCAAATTCAACACTAGAGTATTTCACAAAACGTGTATGTTGCGCTTCAAATTGTTTTTCGCGTAAAATATGCCAGGGGTCACCGTTTTTCATTGTGCCCTTATTTTGTGTTGCCACAACATGCAATTTATTCGTATCGGCCGTATTGCTCAGTGTGTAGCCTGGCTGGAAGCAGACCATTATTATTTACTTTTACCGAGTGGGCCTTTACCCTCGCCTGACAAGTCTGACTCATACAGGAGGAGGAGCGCAGAAAACAGGAGGAGCTGGAGGCATTAAGGAGGCGCGAGGAGGAGAAGCGAGCAGAGGAGGAAGCTGCGGCGGCCGCTGCGGCGGCTGCCGAGGCGGCGGCAGCCGCTGCAGCAGCTGCGGCTGCGGCCGCCCTGGCTCAGCAACAGCAAGAGGAGCAAAAGAGGAGGGAGCAGGAGGCACAGAGACAGCAGGAGCTGCAGAGACAGAGGCAGCAGCAACAGGAGGCTCTGAGGAGACTGCAACAGCAGCAGCAGCTTGCACAAATGAAGGTGAAGTTGTTTTGCCGGACAGTAACCACAAAGCTTTGTAGGTGCAGAATGCAAAGTAGTAAGACAACAAATACAGTTGGGCTGATCATTTTCAAGATTTTCCTTGATAAATCATTGGGTGTCCGGATCAGCAATTTCTGTTAACTTATTCAGTACCAGCCAATTCTAGACCAAGTCTGAAAAGACGTTTAAAAACGTCTTTGGGAGTGAATGAGTTAATTATATCACATAGCAGAACAGTGATATTTGTGTGGGGCATAAATGGAGCCAATCATACGGGACTGTTTATAATGTAAATGATCAGTGGGCCAGACTAAAGAATGGAGTGAGTCCTACTTTGCCCACCCCTGATTTAACTTCTTATAACCTTAAAAAATATTTGTCAAGTTCAACCAACAATCTTCCCTGTTTGTAGCTACCGCTGTCATCAAAGTGGGGTCATCAGTCTGCCAACACTAGCAACAAGAATCAGAACACCTTGTCATTAGCCGAGATCCAGAAACTGGAAGAGGAGCGGGAAAGACAGGCACTCGAAGAGGTAAAACCATCCTGATCACCAGAACGCCTATTATGTGTTGTTTTACTTCAGATCATTTTTCACATGATTATTTTCCCCCACGCCCTACCTGCCACTTGCAGCAGCAGCGTCAGCAGCAGGAGCTCCTGAAGCTTCAGCAGCACCAGGCGCTGCAGCAGGCGCAGCAGGCCCAGGCCAAGCTGTCGGGGTGGGGCCACGCCGCCAAACAGGCCCCTGTTACTAAGTCCCTGCTGGAGATTCAGAGGGAGGAAGCGCAGCAGATGAAGCAGAAGAAGGAGCCGCCGCCGCAGCAGCAGCAGCAGCAGCAACAGAACCACATCTTCAGCCAGCCGGCCCGACCGCACAACAGAACTGTATGCAACCCATATCATGCAAGAGCACCCCGCTTGTAAAACGAAAGAGTGACGGCTGTTTGTTGAGGAACTTAACCTACTTGGTGGAAGAGATTGAGATTTGAAGCAAGCAAATGAATGTGTCGTTCTCGTCAGACATCTCTGAGCAACTCTGTATGGGGATCCGTGAACATCACGCCCTGCTCAAACTGGGCGGCGGACTCGAGCGGGATCTGGGGGGACACGCACAACTCCAACATGGGCTTCTGGGACGAAGCCGTGAAGGAGGCCGTCCAGCAGCCTCCGCCCACCAGGAAAGGAAATGCGCAGAAAAACAAGGGCAATGCCAATCTCAGGTAAGAGCTGAAGCTGCCAAAACTCATATTAAATGTCTACACACCCTTTCTTTCCCCAAAGGCCAGGGTTTTTATATGGGGAAAAAATACACCCGCATTAATCATCTTTTAACTGTAAGTAAATCTGAAGTTACTATTTTTTCTTAGAGTGGATGTACAACTGAGGATGTGGCGGCTTTCAGAATTAACTAATTCCATTCAAACACGTGATAAATGCAAGTCAGCACGCGCCTGCCACCATTTTAAGCGCCCCTGATTCAGTCCAAATAAAGTTTGGGCTGTTCTAGTAAGCTTTTTCTGGTTTGAGATCCACCTGACAGTTTAAGGCACTACGTTAACCAATACATCTGTTCGTAATTCCCTGCGCATTGTCAAAGGCTTAAGTTCTAAATGGAGAGAAACAACTGCTGCCACCATCATGCTTCACTGAAGGTTGGGTGGCCTTTTGGTGATGAGCAGGGTTATGTTAGCGCCAAACATACCTTTTAGAGCTATGGCCAAAAAGTTCCAAATTGGTCTCAGTTGACATGATCACATTTGCATACTTGTTTTGGTCGGATGAAACCAAAGCTCATTTGTTTGTTTTTACTTCGCCTCTCTAAAATATATTTTTCTCAAGTGAGTTGTCACATTAATAGCGGAATAACTTTTGAAATACTTCATCTTGATTTTATTTATTTATTTATTTATTTTTTTTGAATCTCAAAACCTGGCATTTGAACGCTGATTTGTAGACTTTTAAAATCCGCTCTCTCCTCCCATAACATGTGAGTTATCCCCATTTTTCTCTTTTTTTTTTTTTTTTGTGTGTCCAGTAATTCCTTGAGTGGGCGAGCAAACAAGAAGGCGGAGGAGGAAGAGAAGCTGCTCAAATTGTTTCAAGGGGTCAACAAGAGTCAGCAGGACAGTTTCATGCAGTGGTGTGAGCACACTCTGCACAGCCTCAACACCGCCAACAATCTGGATGGTAAATAGCTGCGCAAAAAATGGGTGGCGCGGAGACAGAACCGTCCATTTGAATTCATGTTTCCGCTCCCCTCACTTTTGTCACAGTTCCTACGTTTGCATCGTTCTTGAAAGAAGTGGACTCGTCGTACGAGGTGCACGACTACGTCAGGGCCTACCTGGGGGACACTCCCGAGGCCAAAGACTTTGCCAAGCAGTTCCTGGAACGTCGTGCCAAACAGAACGCTAATCAACAAAAAGCGTCGCCCCCGCAGAACCATCCGCAAGCCCTGAAACAGCAGCAGGTAGTAACCGCTCTCCCTGAAAAGGTTCAAAGCAATTTTGTTTTTCATTTTGTTAACCAAAATGGCATTCGATTTTAGTTTTTGTTATTTTGTCAATTTTAGTAGTCTATAATAACGCAGCCATACCAGATACGTGGCACTTAAAACGTACACGGAAATAAATGGACAGTATACATATCAGAACTGGGTGCTCAGACCTGCAGTCTCTAAATGTGTTGTAATATTCCTTCCCGTCAAGGATTCTGTGTGGGGTGGGACGGGATCATCAACACTCTACCAGGCCAACCACACAAGTGGTCAGCAGAAGCAGCAGCAACAACAACAGCAGCAGCAGCGCTTTGAGACGGTCACCTCAGGGAAGAAGAAAAAGAAGCAAAAGATGGTCCGTGCGGATCCAAGCCTTCTAGGTGAGCGCCAATCACCTCATTGCAGCTCGTCACAGCCTGGGAACTGTCTGAACGCTCGGTTTTCCCTTTTATGCCTTTTAGGTTTTTCTGTTAACGCATCGTCCGAGAGACTGAATATGGGGGAGATTGAGACTGTGGAGGATTTTTAAGGGAACTCAGCCAAGCAAAACGGCCATGAAATGACTCGAACCCCTTCCCGCCCTCGACCGCAGCTGCCATACTTTTTCATCTTTTTTTCTTTTACGGCCTTCATTCGTTGTCAGACCTTATCTGCCAATAGCAATCCAAAACATCCAAAATCTGATCAAGTGCCCTCCGAGGCTGTGCGTTATTTTTCCATGAAATGGGACTATGAAATACAATCAATGCTTTTTGCCACAGTCGGCAGAAGTGTTATTTTTCAATTTGGCTTTTTTTCAAGTTACAGAGTTTATATCCGTTCTTCTATTTATTGAATTTGAATCCCCCCTTCCCACCCCCCCAACAAATTCCGCTCATCTTCCCTTATTTTTGCCCCCGCCCCTCCCCTCTCCCGACCAATGGTTGTTGGCGGATTAAGACGGCAAAGTTGAGCCCAAGGATCGGTGCCTACTTTATGTCCTGTTTTAAGGACATGCTCCAAGTCCCAAGTAGTTATCTATTTCTTGTAAAATACTAGGCTGTTTAAAAAAAATAAATGAATAAATAAACTTTCAACTTGCACCTGTATTATAATTTATGGAAGATGATCTGCTCGAGTCGAACTTTTTTTTTTTATTGCTCTGTTGTGAAATGTGATATGCTCTTAATGTTGTCATTGTATGAACCTTTTTTTTTCCCTCATTGTCTTCTATTTTTGCTGTCTTTGGTATGAGTTGGAAAAACTTTTTCAACTCTTTACCCTGAAAATGGAAATGAGGTACAATCAATATCCATTGGTATATTCATACCCTGGTCATTTTACAGAAGCCGAAGAAACGCTAATCTAAAAATTCACTCTCACACTAGGGACAATTTAGAGTGTTCCATTAACCTGCCATGCATGTTTTCGGAACGTGGGAGGAAAGAAAACCAAGGGCAGATTCAGAAACACTGTCAAACCAAAAAAAATCATAGTTAACTTGCATCTCTGATTCAATTCGAAATAGATTTTTTTATATATTTTAGAATACCGGTGCCTCTTTTATGGCAAAACACTTTGTAAAGTATATATATATATATATATATATTCTGAGATGTATTCGTGTGTTTACTATATCTTCACTTTTAAAAATTAACTGCTGAAAGAAATGAGCTTTTCTATACTGTATATTGAGATGTACGTGTGTCTTAATTATGAATTCATGCCTTAGAAGAAAGCCATTTCATGCAGCAAATACTATTTTAAGGCGGTAATTCCACCCTGCACTGCCCCATATGTCGCACATGCCAGAAACTGCCTCTGCTGGTAAGCCTTTCAAAAGAGGTTGGAGTGTCGATTGTTTGATTTGGTTCTACCGCAACAGACTCATCCACTCATGGCCTAATATGGGCTAGTCAAAAAGTTAAAAAAAAAAAAAAAAAAATTGTCAGTTGGACGATATTTTTTCTCCTCAGACCAAAGCAAAGTACTTGTCAGATATTCCACAAGTGTCAGAGAAAAAGAAGCTGAAATGGCCGTCAATCGGAAGCGCCGGTGACGTGACCTGGTCAAGGCTGGCCCAGGGCGTCGTGTTTACCTCGCCCCCCGCCTGTGTGGCCGGAGGAGTTTGGAGTGGGTGGGCGCTACCGAGATGAACTCACAAAGTCGGCACTGTCCTGACAGTCGGGTAGGCACCTAGTCCCGCCCTTGCAGCCTTCCCGCACCCCCCGCTAAACTCATGCTCTTTTTTCACCCCGTACCTTGCAGAGGCCTGCACCTTCGCTCTTCAGATCCTCTCCAGTACTTCACTTCTTCGAATCACGGCACGTTGAGGACTTGTCGTCGCCATGGTCCGTAGCAGCACCTGCAGAGTCCTGGTCCTCCTGGGCCTCTTGGTGGTCTTCGTGCGCTCAGGTAAAAAATAAAATAAAATAAAAAATACATATCACAGCCATGTCAACTGGGCTAAACACTGTTACAAATGATTATGCAAATGATATTTCGATCTGATTGTTATAGTCTGTGCAAATGGCGTAATTTTCATGTCATCAACTGTTGGGAGAATAATTTTGAATGTTTTGAAACAACCTTCCCAGTGATCAAAGTATTTATTTCCAAAATTAAAAAAAAAATGCCGATTTCGTTCAAATGCACTGTTCCAAGTTATGATGCGCAGCAATGCTTCAAGACGTTCTACACGTTGTCAAGAACGGAATATCGTCGTTTTCAGAACATCTTAAGTCATGTGAACTTAGGACCTCTTATGCGATTGCCGCTTGGCAAGTCTTGCATCCATTGAATTTGTAACTTTTTGCACAACTTCTGCTTGAATTTCTTTGCTAGGATTTCAGAATAGCCTTCTGAAATCGCTGTTTGGATTTGAACTGCGAGCACCCTCATCGATCTTTGCTTGAGGATGTGACAGAGGTTGGGAGCAGGGTTGAGGTCAGAGGGTCGCGGGGGTGGGAGTTGGAGGGGGGCACACGATGAGTTTTTTTTCCCCACCTTTTATGCCCATAGCAGCCACTGATGTAGACGCGTTCTTTTGCAACATGAGTGTTCAACCCTGGATAGTCAAGATGGATGCGATAGTGTTTGGTTGGCGGATGGCCACCATTTTCCCCACGAGGCTGCAACGTCAACATGGAGGTAGCAGCGTCATTTTTTGAGCCGATTACAGATAGAGAGCTTCCGGGTGGTCCCCGAAGGTGAGGAAATAACGACTGAGAAATCTGTTGGGAGTTTTCTGACTGACTACTTTCTGACATGGTGTAGAATGAAAGAACTTTTGCCAAACAAAATCATCTTTGCACCTGCCGCAAGAAATCCCTCTGCATCATGGGCTTCTATGGGCGTCAAAGGAGAGAAACTTGGGTGTGTGACCCCCATCGTCGCTAGTTCAGCGGATGTAAGACATGGCAAGCTGTTATCACTTGAATGGAACTTGACCTGTTAAGATGTTTTGGGTTGAATCCCACCTCCCACCCCCCAACAAATTCTCTAGTTAACTAGTGTTATTTCCATACTTCTATCAGCAAATTCAAATGCTATTACTTTCAATTTTAGATATTTTTGAAAAATATTTTTTCCTCACAGCTACATATTTGAACATAAATAGTGAACCAACACCTGTAGACTGATGATACAATAATATTCACACGCATGTATTCTTTATCCTCTGTGGGGGAGAAAAAAGGCCAACATCATTGCAGCTTAGTGAAACACAGAGTAGTGGTGACTCTTCTTCATTTTTGTTTGTATGACTGTATTGTATGAGCTCTGGTGGCCAAGGTAGCCACAGCTTCAATTGAATTAAGTTTTTACAAGTACGAAATTATATTGAGTGAGGCTCGACCAGATTAATTGCATTTCTATCCATTTCAATGGGGAAAGAGGACTTGAGATATGATCGTTTTCCGTTTCGGGCGTGTTCACGAATCAAATTAAATTGTATTACAAGATCGCACGGCACCGCTGAATCAGCTTTACGTTTTACTACCTGCCACCTAGCCTTTTTTTTTTTTTTATAGTTTTTTTTTTTATTGATTTATTTTTTTAATCAGTGTTGGAACATCTGCCCTTGAGAACACTCATGGAAAGAAGTGTCCATGTTCTTGTTTGTTACCCTCTCCAGCCTTTAGCAAACGGCTCCATCAACAAGTTTGTTTAACAAACAGAACCTGGCCGCTGTCTGCTTTGGGCCTGGCCGGTTGTTACCGGTCGCGGGCCCAGCAAGCACAAGCCGCCTTTTGTACATGGGCCTTGAACGCCTCATTGATGACGCTTCTGGCCCGAGGCCTGCGCCTCCAAAAACCTCCCGTCCTGCTACGGGTACAGGAAGCTTCTGGGTCAACACAAATACTCACCAAGCTAAAAAGACGCCGCTTGGCATTCATTTCTGCTGAATTACCATCAGACGTTGCAAAAGTCTTCACGCTCTGTATTTAGAGTGGGTCTAAAAAGTCGACACACCCCTCTTCGATTGCAGGTTTTTGTGAAATAAAGTGGGACCAACAGAAATCATTTCACAACTATTTTTTTTTCAACCATTATAATTGAAGGGGGGGGGGAATAAAAGTGACTTGAGATAATGTGGTTGCAAAAGTTTACACACCCTCCTAGAACGGGGGTGCAGCCACATTCTCGATTATCCAATCCCATGTATCAAACCTATGCTAAATTGTAGTCAGCAGTTCACCCCAAATGAAGTTCTAATGTTCAAGTAGGCTTTCGGTGACCGTTTGGTTGTCTGCTCTTACTGCAGAAAGCTTCCACAGCATCAGAGACACCTCATTGTTGAAATTCCAGTTCCAGTCGGGAAAAAAAAAATATATATATATATATAAATATACCCTAATTTGCAGTAAATATACCCTAGAACACATAAAATGTAGAAAATATGTTCCAAAATATGTTACTGCTTCCTTCGTCGAGCGGGTTGTTAAATTGTTACGTAAGAGTACACACTCTGAAATGTACTTCAACACAAGTTAAATTCAACACCCACTTTAACAACTGGGACGCTGACAATAGTAACAAACATTTTTGGACAAATTAATGGCTGTAATGTACAGACATGGTTTCATATGTAAGGAGTAAAAGTAAAATGTCAGGAAAACAAAAACTCGGGTGAAATACAAATACCTGAAAATCTCTTCAAATACATGAAACAGAGTATTTGCGCTTGGGTTACTTCCCAGCACGGATCAAATGACAGTACAGAAGGAACAAGAGCAAAGAGTTCAGTGGAAGCATCACAGGCCCGCAGAGTCAATGTTGAACAAGGCCCAGCGTCAACATATTTGGATGGTTTTGTTGGTATGTGTTGCGTCAACGTGCGCGTGAATGGATCGGCTTGTGTTTCGGTGTGACTGGATCGGCTTGTGTATGTGTGTATGCAAAAGTTTATTTATACAGTTGACTGTATATATACACGGTATATATGAACATTTTCCATGGGTCATCTGCGTTCTAAAAGAAAAAAGTGGCATTTTACATGAGGGGCAAGTTGGCCAGTTCCACCACCAAATCAAGTAGGTGGCGCGATGGTGCCAAAAAGTTCCTGTTGCCCCACACATGCCAAATGAAATTCATTTCAAACCGAACGATTCATTCTTACTGAGCATCTTAATCACAGTATGGGTAGGCACTTGTCTTAAGTGTTCATAATGAAGATGGAGGTGTTGTTTCAGCCTGAAGGGTGACCACTTTCATGGCTTTCATGTTGGAGAACCTCTTCGTATGCTCTTCTGTGATAATCGCCCAGAATGAGGGAGCTTTTCTGCTATCCTGGGAGGTTACCTGGATCCTTGAAGGAAGGAAAAAATAACATGTCAGGAGGCCACCTGAAGCTTAAACGGACAAAATGTTGCCTCCCTACAAAGGCTTCCTTATACTGCCACTCCGGAGCCGTTGGGGGCTCACAGAAGAGACCTTATGGATCACTCAAATATACCAACGATAATCACATTCTATAACAAGTCACGTTCAAATTGCTTTTTTTTTTTTTCTCTCTCTGTTTTGCAGAGACGGTCGGCGACTCACCCAGAGACAACCAAGACATCATGTCCGGAGAGATCCCTGCGGATGTGGCCCCCACCGGAGCCACCACCAAGGAACTCCTTCATCACATGACCGAGCAGGCCTTCACGTTCGACTACGAGGACGCCACACAAGGCCTCGCCGTGGATGAGGAAGAAGGTAATAAAAGTGTCTTTTGTCACCTTTCGATGTGAAGCCAATTGCATATGTAAAAGGTTCTAAAATTCTTTTGGATTTGTCAGTATAGTTTTTAATTAGTTTTTAACTACAGCAACCTTGTACCTACTCATCTAAGCACAGGATAATCATTAAGCAGATGACGATCAGCTTTCATTGACACCCCCCGCCCCCCCCCCTTGCTCTGCTGTCAACTGAAATCCCTGTCAATGTGGGCTCGCATTGCAAAGCTCACGCATCACCTGTTGTCTGGATTTGGTCAAGTGGCATCATAATTTCTCGTTGTTTGTAGGTGTCTTGGGACCGGGTGCCATCACCGCCATCGTCATCGCCGTTTTTCTCGGAGCGTCCGTCCTTCTGGCTCTCATCGTCATCATGCTCAGGAAATTCGCAGCCTCCTAGAATGTGTTAGGATGTGTGTGTGTGTGTGTGTGTGTGTGTGTGTGTGTGTGTGTGTGTGTGTGTGTGTGTGTGTGTGTGTGTGTGTGTGTATTTTTGCTTGTTCTGTATATGTGTTAATTGATGCTGTGGCAGGTCCCCTGACGGAGGAAGCATAGCTGCTCTGCTCCACTCTGTGCTCATTTTGCGTGTTGAGTTTACATCATTTTCATCAGGATACATATTATGTATTTTAATTTCACAATTTATAACATTTCCCACGTGTCTCAATATGTCTGACATCAAAATAGGGTACATTAAAACAAAATAAAAAAAAGATCACCTGACTTTCAACTGTCTCCTAACCTCGCAGAAATTTGCTTGGACTATGCATTGTTACCATGACAACAAGCAAGTAAACGACTTCTACTTGCAGAAGGTGATCCCAGTGTGGGAAGAAAAATCACCCTTGAAAAACAATAAAAGCCTTGTCAATCTTGGAATCGGAGTAGAATGTGTGGGGGAATACTGTGTTGCGGTTTGTGGCAAGCTAATAAAAATTTGATCAGTTAATCCCTTCTGATCAAGTGTTTTTACAGTTGCAAAAAAAAAAATATGAAGATCAGAACACATTTTATGACCAATTTATGGAGAAATCCAGGTAATTCCAAAGGGTTCACATACTTGTTTTTGCACCTGTATATGCGAATTCGTTTTTGTATGAATGTTTAATATTTTTTTTATTTAACTTGATGCCTCAGTCACACATGCCATAGTATTGTCACTGCCTGTCAGTTCATTAAAGGCTGAAAAAGCAACAAGGCAATTTAGTCTAATGCAGCTTTGCCAAATTGACATGATGAAACGTAAGAGGACTTTCCAGAAGAAATGTATGCCTGCCAAGTATCTAACTTCAATAGCCAGCTACGGTATTTTGCAGTGTTGGTATTCTAGTAAAATTTTGGACGCTCTTTCAAGTGAAATTGCTGTCGAAGGTGTTGAAATACCACTGAAATATCGATGCTAACTACATTAGCCATCTATGGTATTTTGAATTAATCTCACATTTTCGACGCTCTTTCAAGTGACATTTTAATAGTGCCAATCAGGTTGTCATTATGAAAATTTTTTCATATTTATAGAAAACGCAACGCCCAATGTGGTAGATAGGTCTGATTTATATTAAAAAAATCCAGAGAAAGTTGAATAGTTTATTAAAGCAGCAAGATATTAAGTACAGTAAAATACACCAATATTGACACACAATTGAAACAAATAAACTAAATTATTTTTAACTGGGTACAATTGTTGTGAAGAAAATAGACAATTCAGATGTAATTTACAAATTTTAGGAAAAAAAATCAGCAATAACAACAAGCTGCAGACAGCACACTTTGGTTCCTTCTGACGCTTACAGTCTAAAGCCATTTAATAAAATCCAAATATACATGTAACACCTGACGTATGTAGAAAATTCACTTTACTTCATATATTGCTTGGTAACATTCAAAATTCATTTACTGTAAACCATCCAAAAATATATGAGGTATGTTTTGTGACACAGCACTGGTCAACAAATTATGACACCTCCCCAAAAAAAATATTTCACACAAAAAACTGTACTCAATTTTGTGCTGATTCTGCCCTCATTTTTTTTTTTGTAGCAGGAAACCATTTTCCTGTAGCACATCAGGTTTTTGTATTTTCTTAACACAATGACTTCAAGGTTAGCTTCAGCACAGGTGCAGCTATAAATTACTGTACAACACATGGTAAAACCCTTATTGCGCAAGCACTATACTGCACTTAAAAATTTTTCAAAAACATGAAGTGCGAGGAAAAAGGGTAGTAAAGTTTTAAAATCTGCATCAAAAACACAATTGAGACACACACCTCATATTTCTTGACCAGTGCATTTCAAATTTACAAAATGACATTGAAATCATACATCCATCAGTTTTCTTTATATTCTCCAGGATTGCTTATCCCAGCTGACTGAGCGAGAGGCCAGACACCCGGACTGGTTGCCAATCTATGTCGGGGTACAAGCATCCACGCGCATGAATAATTTGGCATCCTCAATCCACCGAATGTGTATGTTTTTTTGGAAATGTGGAAGAAATCAGACAAGCAAAGGGAGAACATCAAAATCTCCAACACGGGACGGCCAAAGTCCCAAACTGAGACTGATCCGCAAACCAGTCTGCCACCACCATTCTATTACACACAAACTATTACAAATGTTTTGTAATTGCGAAGAAAAATTAAGAGAAATCAGTTTGACAAGGGTTAAAGTGCAGTTTAGAAGTGTAGTCAAGAACTGAAGAGATAATGGCTGTGTCGCCGTTCGCTTTAGGTACACATGTAAGTAATCACGATGTAACGGCTCTCAAAGTAAGTGATTTCCCTGCAGAGGTAATTCTGTATAGCTGGAAAAGAAAACACAACACATGTTAGAAACTGAAATTGGGACATTCAGCTGGTCAATGGCAGGGCATGAGAAGCTTCGTTCATATCTATGGACAAATCTTCAATATAGTTCAGAAAGTCTTGCTGAAAATGGAAATCTTACTTTTACAATTTTCTCCGTTTGCAAACGAAAAAGATGACGAATATGAATGTTAAATCTTTATTTGTAACGTGAAGATTTTTATAAAATAGGAATTTTGCTCGACAACTTTGCACCTGCCCTAAAAGCTCATTTAGTAAATGAAAATCAGACGTGGTAAAAACTGTGGCTAAAGGCAACCTTGATTTGCCCGTTGGTGCTTTTTCCGTGGAGCTACGAAAGGGATTTTTAAAATAAATCAGCACCCCCTGGTGGAGGGGTTTAGTAGTTACACTCAACCGTAACGCAATCACAGGCCACTTTCAGTACCGCACTCGGCAAACTCCAGTAAAATTGATGACGATAATGACACTTCTAGAAATGCCCTCATACTTTCTTGCTGAGGTTTTTTTCATACTTGATGAAAATACTTGTCCTTTTTCCAATTAAGGGCGACCGCAGTTTCCCCCCACCCCCATTCCATATTTGTGCAACAGCGTAAGGAAGTGAGTTGCATGGATGCTTCAGCTCCAAAAAAGCTGTCATGCCAATCAAAGGCCAAGAGCCACTCATGTCTCATCCCTCCATCCTCCTCACTTTCACTGCACACGCTGTGACTCATAAAGATTTCCCAGGCTGTGCCCACACTCACTCACTTGGGCAGAAATAAATGAGGCTACACAATCACTGCAAAGAGGAAGTCTACATTTGGTCATGCTATTTTATGCACACTTCACAAGCACCCAACTCGGATTGCCTATGACTAAGTGGTACAATTGGTCCCAGCCTGCGGGTACAATACACTTTGCGCCATCGGTGTTGGCATTTGAATTTCTCATACGCATGTGTTTTATGAAGTTTGTTTTAAATTTTACATCACACTTGTATTACATCTAAGAAAAAAATGTACAATAACAATTTCCAAAACGTCTTTGAAACATGTTCATTTTTTTAACCCAGAATTTTATCATGTTTTTGCACATTTTTGGGGGGAGAATTTTTTACATTGTTTTGAAATGCATTCTTTTACATTTAAAAGGTCAATCTGAATGAATTTTAACAATATATCCAAACTTGGAAGTGTCTGTCAAAACAAAAAAAAAAAAACAATTATCATGGTTAAAACTATTTGGTTAACTATTTGTCTTGTTTTTGTGGGAAAAAAAATTAGAAATATGTGACTGAATTGATTTTTTAATTATTTTTTTGCATGTGGAATTCAAACATTAAAATAATCCTATCCAAAAAACAGATTCATATTGATGGAATTTTGAAAAAAATGGTTCAAAATTTGACACTTTGATGGTAAAATTTGGATAAATTTAAATTCATCTAATATTTTTTCTTGCATTAAGTTTTCACACAAGGAATTAAAAGGGTTTTTATGAATTTCTTACACATGGAATTTTAAACTGGCTTATTTTGATGGAAGGAAAAAAAAAGTTGCCGACTCATGTAGGCCGGATGGCGTTTGACACTCACCTGGATCTCCTCTCTGCATTTCATAGGTCTCCCTTCCGCGGCACATCTCTTGGATGGTGGGGCTCATCTCCTCGTTGGTCAGCAGGCCGGTCACCTTCATCACTTCCTTGAATACGTAGTTATCCGCTAGGTAAATCTCACTCTGCAGACCCGATAAAAAAAAGTCAATCAATGACAGTAAGTGTCTTCCATCTTGGGCTCATTTCAGCAACAAGTTAAATACACAGCAAGATCAGTCATTTCAAACAGTTTTCAATTATCTATCTCAGGTGGCGGCCATTTTGCCACCTGCTGTCGACTGAAGATATCTCAGTGCCTCGCGAATTACCAATCAGGGTTCAGCTTGCCAACATCACATGACCAAACTCACAGGTCAGTCGTATGGCATGTCTTGACTCGTGTTATGGCCAGCATTCAGAATTTCAATTCTTCCAACACCAACGATGCACATTCGCATGAGCCCTATCTTGCATACGAGGCGTTGTCGCCATCTGACGTGGTCTCACCTCGGTGTTGGACAGCATCTCCCGAAGGTTGTGTGGATAAAGCACTACGGTGTTCAGCGGGCCCACAAAGCATTTTGACAATTGCTTGTCATAATATGCCGTCTTGCTCTGTCAATACATACATTTTATACACATAAATATGTATGCTACTATTTGGACAACAAAAATGGATCACAAAAAAAAATCAGAAATGGTCAAAAAGTGAGGTAGGTGGGCCTCACGTGTTCAAAGTCGTGGATGATGTCAAAGGGGTGGTCGCGTCTGCCCATCTTGACCACCGTGATGTACTCGTAGTTTTTTTCCAGAGATATGGCCACATCCATGGTCAACTCCACTTGGCTGTTACGATCTTCGAACACAACATGGCACTTGAACTCGTCCGCTGATTCCTACAGACACACGCGCGCACGCCATTTCCGTCATCACGCGGTGCCTTACGTCAATAAGATCAGGCTTTCTCTTTTGGATACGGGATGAGAGTGATACGGATAGTGTATAGGATAGGATTGCAGGAAAGATGCAAAAGAGGGATGATGGACAGATGGGTGAAAGAATTTAAGGCTTGCACGATGGATACAATCCATGGGTAGTTGGGACAGATAGCTGATGAAAGAATGAAAAAAGTACAGTCGGCTGGAACAGAACGATGGCAGGATGGAGACATACACGCAAATTGCTATCTGATAAGGTGATGATGTTCTTTGCCGGCGAGAAGACTTGAATGACAGATAAACCACCACCTGGCAAGTCGTCATCCAACTGGACGGATGGATAGACTTGAATGACAGATGAACCGCTACCTGGCAAGTCGTCATACAACTGGACGGGTGGATTAAAAAAAAAAAAAAAACATCAATAAGAATGAGTAATGTCAAGAAAATGTCAGGACCAAATGCCACTTGGGTGATTAACAAAACACAGATGGTCAAGTAGGCCGCTGCCCTGATGCAAAAGGTACCTTAGAAGGATGGAAGTGGCGGTAGGTGTAGATGGAGCCCAGCAGCAGTCCAAGGAGAATGACCAGCACGGCAATCATGATGACGCACAGGCGGACTGGAAAATACCTCTTGATGTGGGCCGAAGTAGACTCCAGGTCCTGGTCCCGGTCCTGGTCCTGGTCCTGGTGCAGACAAAAAAAAAAAAACATTACCATTGGCCATTAGGCACTTCGCTGAAACTATAGCGGAATATATACTTCCAGAAAAGACAAAAAAATGCAAGCACATAGTTTTTGTTTGCCCAAGAACAGATGTACCTCATGAAGCTTCAAGGATTATGAAGCGTGCAATTTGCAACATTTATACTCAACAGGTATGTTGAGCACATCTTTGATTCTGACTTGATTGAACACCAAAATTGCAGCTGTAATCAACGTCACCTTGTTTACAGTGCTAATGTTAGCTTTGCGTTGTTAGCACTGCTATTTTGTCACAGCCATAAAGAGCACAAAAAAAACAACAAAAAAAAAAACTCAAGCCCTGGATGCAGAACATCATTTATTTCAGTTGGGTTTTTTTTCCACAGATGTCCCACTTCTCAGCCTTTCTGTGACTCTTCCAGTTTCTTTTGAAACCCGCTTAAGACACTGACATGCTACATGCCACTCAAAAGAAGGACTCATTGAATTAAAACCAGTTATTTTTTTGTTTGTTTTGTTTTTTTGCAGCTCCAACACAAACTTTCTTCAGGACCCAGTACTGAGCAGTCCCAAATCTAAATTTACATATATTTTTTCTTTAAGATGAAGTGTTTCACATTGACATTCAACAACTCAATATTGATATTCCAGAACTCACAAATCTGTTTAATTTGAATTCCAAAAACATGCATGCATGGTTGAATATTTTATTTTGGCTGTATTTGATAAAGATGAGTTTGGACTCATGACAGCATGTTACACTGAAGTGTGACTTGGATCTACTTAAAGAGCAAGTCATTGTTCTATTGCAGTCATGTGTCCTAGGTTGCCCCACAAGTCCAAACATGGTATGAAGCGGTTGTTAAGTTTTTAATCCATCTATTTGCAGCCATTTTGTCTCTTACTGTCAACTGAAAATGACATCACAGCACCTAATGATGCATTCGAAGGTAGCGATTACTTGGGATTTTCCCCACCCAGGTTGTGAGGTTCCAAACTCAGTGTTCGAAGCTAATGTAAACAACAAAGATGGGTGTTTGTTGTTCTGGTTCACAACATATTTTGACCTCCAGCAAAACTTCCTAATTTTACTTGATTTATAAAAAGGAACATCATATCTTCAAAGCATTTCATTCATTTCTCCAAATAACTTAATGCAGGGGTAAGTAGAACTTATCAGTCCAGTCCAAATGTTTTTGTTACATGAAGTTGTCTTGAATGGAATTAACTAAATTATTTTGCCATCCAGGGCCAATTCAGGGTCGCCATCGTCGAGTGACGTTAAAAGTCAGTCAGTGAACTCAAGCTCCATATTTTTTGTCTGAGTTCGTAAATCTGGACATCCCAGTTCAAAGATGTGTGCTAGTGCAATTTTCCAAATCGGACATCGGAAAAATCCAACTTCCGACCTTTCTGAAATGCAGTGTGCAAAGGACCACAGGACCACATCCAGAACACAGGTTAGCTGTGATTGGTCGTCATCTGAGCCTACTATGATGTCATTATCAGTCGACGGCAAGTGGCAAAATGGCCGCCGGCTGAGATGGATAAAATTCGATTCCTCTTTAAATAAAACCGATGGAAAATGCCCAAAATGTATTTGTGTTCAACCAATTGACACCTTTTGTCAATTTTGTGGGTAGTCACTAATGTCGACAGGAATTACCACGTGTGAATTGCGTCGCCGAATCCTGAGTCAGGCCGAGAGATCTGACAGACGTAAGATCGGGCGGCGCTGAGACTCGCCAGATGCCCGCCCACGATCTCACGATCAATCTGCCACCTTCGCCGTACTACCGTCGCCATGGCGAGGAGCGGAAGCGGGAGCACCGGGATGCTCTGACTGAAGGCGAAGGCCTATTTTAAGACGTCTTCATCATATTTTTAGACGTGTTCGGCACTTGTTGATCGATGCGCCTTGACGTCACGCGAGACCGGCGCACCGTCAGATTCACAGATTCTGGTGTGTACGTGCAATAATCAGCAGGGATCACTCAAGTACTTTATTAATATGGATTGCAAGGGAAAAGGCTCATCTTATAAACATTTAGCATCAGATTGATGTTACGTTATCATTAGACAAAACATTAGGTACACTTGTAGCATCCTTTCAGCTAATTAACAAAGTCTTTACAAGCAATTAATAAAACCCACACGTAAGGTACACAAATAGTACTATAATTTTAAATATTTATTATATCTGCTAATAAGATTATGGGGAAAAATTCACAATTTAAAATAAAATATTCATAAAGTACAATATCTCAATTATTTTTAGCAGCAATGAAGAACAATTAACCATTACTCCCATGATGGAATTATAAAAAATCGTAAATACTAAGGATACATATAGGAAATTATACACAATTCACAAACACATTGACTGCATTAATATTAATACCCCCTTAATGTAAAAATTGTCATTACTCAAAAATAAAAGCATAACCATCATCAGATCCCACGGGATTTTAAAATATGTTACTATAAATCAGAATTAATACTTATACAAATCGTCATCATAAAATCACCAAAGCATCATAAAAGTGTACATAGGGTATCACAAGACAATAACTGTCGTCATCACAAACGTAATAATTCACCTCTGTCATCATCACTCTGTCCCCCGTTTGTAGCTGTGAAGTACAGTGTATCCCACCTCTCTCCTAAATTATTCATAAAATGCATAGAATGACAAAAGTCCTGCGCCTGTGCTATTATTATTATTATTATTAGCATTGTTATTATCAGTCCAACATTGACTTTGTAGCCAAGCGTCGGAAACAATGATACAGTACATCAAAGTCACTTCAATAAAGAGGGAAAAAACGGGACAACTTACAAGCTCGTTGACAACGAGTTCTTCCTCTTTGTCTCCCTTGTCAGATGAGGAGGCGCGGAAGAATATCCTCACCATTGTGGATGTTCTGTCAAGTTGTTGGTGGGTGGCTTGTTAGAATTTATTCTTCTCTCGAGAAGCACTTGCTGAGCTTGCTGAATGCTGACAAGACAACTGAACTCCGGTTCAGGTTTTATACCCACTAGCGGGGACTCCAGGACGTCACGACAACGTAATTCTGTGACGAACACAGGCGAGCGTGGGTATCAAGGAAGAGCTGGCGCGTAACATTAGAAATAAGAGCAACACGTCTATATAACTACTTTGATTTGCCACGGAATACAACCGCTTACGATTTTTTTGTATAGCTTTAATGATATCGTCTACGATTTCAATCAGTAAATGTGATTATAAGACGTTTTTGGCGTAGTTTATGCCACTATTAACTTTTATTTTGAAGACACCAGTCAGATATGGTAGTGTTCCGTATTTCACAAATAAACGTCATCATCCGGAACTGCAACTTTGTTCAAAGTAAACTTGCATGCACTCTTGCTTGATATGCATCCCTATGCCATCAAATATAATACTATATAATGTAATATAATATGGCTGCACGGTGAACGACTGTTAAGCATGTCCGCCTCACAGTGCTGAGGTGCAGGGTTGGATTTCGGCTCCACCCTTCCAGTGTGGAGTTTGCATGTTCTCCACGTGCCTCCGTGGGTTTTCTCTGGGTACTTCGTTTTTTTTTTTGCCACATTCCAAAAACATGCATGGCAGGCTAACGGAACACTCTAAATTGTCCCTCGGTTTCATCATGAGCGCGAATGGTTGTTTGTCTATATGTGCCCCACGATTGGTGGGCAACCAGTTCAGAGTGTACCCCGCCTACTGCCTGAAAACAGCTGGGATAGGCTCTGGCACGCCCGCGACCCTTGTGAGGGTAAGCAGATGGATGGATGAATGCATACATTATCCAGCCATTTTCTGATCCGCTTGATCCTCACAAGGGTCACGGGGGGTGTGCTGGAGCCTATCACAGCTGTCTTCGGGCAGTAGGCGGGGGGACACCCTGAACCGGTTGTGAGCCAGACACACAGAGACGAACAACCATCCACACTCACACAATTTGGGGTGTTCAATCAGTCTGTCTTGCATGTTTTTGGAATGAGGGAGGAAACCGGAGTACTCGGAGAAAACCCACTCAGGCACGGGGAGAACATGCCAACTCCACACAGGAAGGCCAGAACTGGAATCGAACCCGGTACCTCTGCACTGTGAGGTCGACGGGCGAACCACTGGGCCGCCCTATGGATAAAATATAATATAATTTAATGTGGGCGGCCCGGTAGTCGAGTGGTTAGCACGTCAGCTACAAAGTGCAGAGGTACCGGGTTCAATTCCAGCTCTGGCCTTCCTGTGTGGAGTTTGCATGTTCTCCCCGTGCTTGCGTGGGTTTTCTCCGGGTCCTCTGGTTTCCTCCCACATTCCAAAAACTTGCATGGCAGCTGACTGGTACTCGTACGAGGGAGCACATAACTCCTACTCTGGCATCCCTTCACTGGCTCCCGATACATTTTAGAGTTATTTTCAAGATTTCAAGATTATTTGTTTTCAAATCTCTAAATGACCTCGCGCCACCTTACCTCTCTGAGCTCATTCGCCCTGACACACCTGCCCGGGCGCCTCAGGTCTGCGGACCAGACATTGTTAGAAGTACCAAGAACTAAACTGAGGCTCAGAGGGGATCGAGCCTTTTCCGTTGCTGGTCCCTCTCTCTGGAATGACCTCCCACTGAACATTCGGCAAGCCTCCTCGCTGCCCATCTTTAAAACCCGCCTCAAAACTCACTTGTATTCTTTGGCATTTGACTCAGCATGACCCAAATTATGATCTTAGTTATACTGTTTGGTGCTCTCTACCGTCTTTGTTACTGATTTGTTGCTTTCCTGTTGTATATGTTAGTTGCTCCATGTACAGCGCTTTGTGTGCAGCGATGGCTGTTTGAAAGTGCTCGATAAATACAGTTGAGTTGAGTCGTGAGCGCCTATGGAGAGGAAGGAGTTAATGCCCCTAAAATCCAAAATGCCATCGTTTTTGACAGTTTCAGGGGTTGATGTGGGTATTGGTAGAGATGTCCCCTTAGATTTCGGGAAAGATTAATTGCAGTTTTCTGACATCAAGTCACATTCAGCTTTTTTTCTTCTAAGAGCAAAACACTTATTGCCCATAAAACCCAAAATATAGAGCGATTGTTTTGACATTTCCAGAGATAGATGTGCACATGAATTTTGGGGATGATTGATTCGATAATTTTTTAACATGATAGTGAACGTCTATCGGGAGAAAAAGGCTTAATGCCTATAAAATACAAAATACGGTGGCGATTGTTTCGATATTTTCAAAAGTTGAAGTGGCATGGGTAAAGATGTGCATTTGAATTTTAATAACAATTGGTCGTCGTTATCTGACATGAACCAGATACGATTTGTTTTACATGTAGCCTTTCCCCAGGTTATTGAATTTGGGGTACAGATTAGCAAATTGAAGGGTGGCTTCTTACTAACCCCCCCCCCCCCCGGTGGCTTTTTCGCCTTATTCATATGTAAATCAGGCGTTTTATATACCTAGCCCATGTCTCCCCCTCCAGTGGCAGCACTAAAAAGAAGCCAGGTCTGTTGGCCGAGAGCATCTGTCTCTCCTCTGAGGAGCTCTGTCTTTTTCGTGGGTTTTCGAAAGAGAATTTCAAGGTTCTCGTCATTTTTGTTTTCTTTTTTTGGTGGCAGGAATGCCCCCCACCCGCAAGCGCACACCGACTGACCACTATTCAGGCGGACTGAAGTCTGACAGAAAGGTAATATCTATAATTATTATTATTACTATTATTCACCATGCGGTAAAAACGATTTATTGGAAATGTTATTGTTTTTGGTGTCACTAATAATAATAATTCTATGCGTCCAGATGAGGAAACCTCTCGTCGAGAAGAAACGACGAGCTCGAATCAACGACAGTTTACACGAACTCAGGGTTCTCATGGCGGATACGGAGGTAATCAACACATCATATGTTAATTTTTAATCGGCCAATCATTTGCTTTTTTAAAGGGGAGATAAATGTGACTAATAACGTGTGTGCGTGCGCGCGCGTGTGCGTGTCGCGTAGCAGTTCCATTCAAAGATGGAGAACGCCGAAGTGCTAGAGATGACGGTCAAACGGGTGGAGAGCATTCTGCAAAACCGGGCTCAAGGTAAAGCTAAACAAGATTGATATTCTATGTTATTCTGTCGTGTTTTCATTTTAGCAAGATTATGACCGTAAAAAGCAAAGTTTTACTCGGGTTTGCCTCGCTTCCGCTTGGAAACTCACTGCCCAAATCCTGTCTCAATGCTGCATTCCATGGCATCTAGGAATGAGGAATATCTCGTATATCCGACCGGATAACTATTGACGAAATGGCGTAAAGGTTCCAGTTAGAATGACGAAATATGGGACTTTTAGTAGAAATTCTACTTGAATTTCGACTGCCATCGTTTACATTAATGTTCGTTCACTCAAAGTATGATGGATTATCTAATTTTCCAATTTCACAAACGCAGCGGTGATAGGTAGTTCCTCTGGTCAGCGCATACATACACTCACTAGGCATCGAGGCTACAGGTGTACCACTGCTGCACGTCCTTCCGCGAGGAAGAATATAGATCGCAACAGGTCGCATTTAAACCACTTTTTTTGTCCACACACACACACACACACACACACACACACACACACACACACACACACACACACACACACATCTTATGCAACAGAATTCATCTTTATTTATTTAGACCACAAAATCCCAAAGACACACAATTCTTACCACAAAGTGGATCAGAAAGGAACTGATCCTATGATCAGTTTTATTTAGCCTCGACTTTCTATCCTTACCTAACACACTATTTGAAGCTAACAACAAAATAAGAACAAGCTGCTTTTCTTTCCAGTGATTTTTTTCTTTTTTTTCCAGTGCAAAGGCCCGCCTTGCAGAAAAATAATTATTCAAGGACGGCACAAAACGGCTGAACAGCAAACAAACATCATTTGTAAAAGCACATTTTTGAAAATGTTCCCACAAAAATCAACTCACTCCAATTTTTAAGATTATTGAGCTACTTACTGTTTGTTTTGCATGTGCAAAGAAAAATAATAAGCCTATTCACATTGTATTGTCGGGCAGTTTAAGAGCTGATCGAAGTACAACTAGGACATGTCTGCCATCTAGTGGTGAATAGTGATGTTACAACTTAACTTCAGTCAACACCTGCATACATCGGGTCACCACCCATGGATTGACATATTATGAGATTAATTGATTTCATTATATTTTCAATATTTGTATATATTTTTCTTTTTTTTTGAATTTCTTGTTTGTTTCTGTTGATTCCAGAGGTGGACGCCATCAATCGAGAGGCGTGCCAGCGTTTTGCGGCTGGTTACATCCAATGCATGCACGACGTACACAATTTTGTGTCCAGTTGCCCGGGGATGGATCCCACGGTGGGGGCCGAGCTGCTCAACCACCTCCTGGAGAGCATGCCCTTGCACGGCCAGGACCGCCTCAGGGCCACGCCTTTGGACGCAGACCGCCATGGTGGCCCATGGTCCCTGCCTGCCCCTAGTGCCCCTATGGCCCCGGGTTCGCTGGTGTCCCCGGCTCCCTCTTCTTCCTCCGCCTCCGGCGATGACCTCTGCTCTGACCTTGAGGACACCGACTCAGAACAAAGTCAGGGTTCCTCTTCCGAGGAGTCGGAACAAAGTCAGGTTTTTTCCTCTGAAGAATCGGAGCCGCAGGACGTGTCGGGATGTGTGTCCTTAAATGGCTCCAAATCCGTTTGGAGACCCTGGTAGATTGAAGGAGCTGTACACGTCGATCAGATATTTTAAAGCTGTGGTGTCAAACTCGGTTTCATATTGGGCCACACGTTGGGCGTTCCGGGTTGAAGCGACAGGTAAAAACCTATAAAGGTATGTGACAGTCACACCATTGAACAGTCAAAGTAAAACAAATATATATATATATATGTGTGTGTGTGTGTGTGTGTGTGTGTATTCGGGATGGGCGAGTACCGAGGTATTGGGCTAGTGCAAGCCTTATTTCGAGTTATCATCGGGTGCTCATGGAGGATGCAGATACTAGCCACCGATACTTAAGAAAAAAAAAAAGTCTTCCTTGCAAGTAGTTGGTGCTACACTCTGGCCGTTTGACATATCTCTGAATTATGTATGTCAGGAAGACATAAAGGTATGTGTTCACAATTAGTTATCATTCTGTTTATTGAAAATCGTGTTTGTGATATCGGTACTCGGTATCGGTGAGTACTCAAGAGTGAATACTCGTACTGGTATCGAACATCCCTTATATATTTTATCTATGTTCTAATTTATTATTGCGGAAGTAAATTCAAAACAACTTGGGCAATTATGCTGTTCGATTAACACAATTTTGTATATTTTTAACAACAAAGAGAATTTGAAATCAAACGTGATGCAAATTAGTGACAACCAAATATTTACAGGAAGTATGAAACTTTTGTTCAGTTTATGATGAGTTATGTTATGATGCGGTCGGCCAGATCTGACCCCGAGGGGGTCGAGTTTGATGTCTGTGTTTTAATGTTTTGCCCTAACGTGTGTGTGTGATATGTAAACTAAGTCAATCTTTAGAAATGCAAATCAGTGATTTTGGAAGCATAACTGCCACATGTAGAGGGCAAAAATACTATACAGTATACTGTATTTTTTACTTAGAGCAGCGTTTTCCTTACCTTTATTAGACACATATTTTACATTTGAAAAACATCTCACGGTGCACTACCCCAAAAAACATCACACCAAAATTGTGGAAATTATTCCTTATATTTTTTTAAAGTGTTTTTAATGTCTATTTATATGCATGAAACGGCAACAGAGAACTTTTACAATAAATGGCTTTGTGGAAGTTGACTTTTCATGGAAGTTTGTGTCAACATTTTTTTTTTCCCGTTTCCAGGATGTTAGTTGAGATTCTACAATGGCCGTTCATTTGCGTACATGTCGTGGGCACTGCAGAGGTGTTGACGATGAGTAAGCCACTCTCAGAGAAGGAGGAGGCAATAAAGCTTTGAAAACAGTTCACCGCCGGTGGATATCCTGGATTGGTCAGTCACTCGTGGAACCTTTCTGATAATTATAATAATAATAATCATGTCACAGGTTGTTGCGTTGACAGTGGCAAAAAAGGTGGACGCAAAGCAGGAGTGCAGGACAATCTCTTAACAAAACCTAGTTCTGTTCTAAACTTAAAACTAAAAGGCAAACAACACAACATAATATGTACTGAATCCACAATACAGACGACCTAGTAAGCAAAAAAGATCATGTTAATAGGCCGAAGTCCCACACGGGGGCCCCCCTCGGCACCCCATGGGGACCACAGACATTCTCTCTCCCATCCTGACTCCTGCGGCCGCATAATAAAAGCTAAGGGTGCGCTTGTAATGACGACTCTGCTCTGTGATGTGCGTGCAGAGTGTCGTTTGTCACACCGTAACACTTGCGAGTGAGGAAAGGGTAAAGATGGTACTCTTTAGCCGTAGACTGCACGTTTTACGACGGAACAAATTCCTACGTGTCATGCTAGCAGGGGCAAATGGTTGGAACGATGAATTTGAGGCCTTTTTTGTCTACTTTTATGACCTGATGTATAAGTCGTGAAGATGATGTTCCATGAGGTAAATTGTTTGAAGGGGGATAAGATAAATGGATAGTGCGCTGTCGTTTACGTTAGCTAGCAAGCTAATAGGCTTAATTTGTCCATTATTTTTTCCAATTACTCAAATACTCGGGTTTGGTTTGTAATGTCATAAAAGTGTAAAAAAATGTTCATCATCGTTTTCCAAGGTAAAAAGCAGGTCGTTGGAAATGTCTTATTTTGAAAATACGCAAATATAATCAGTTTGCTTTCATGGGAGACAATAAAAATCTGACAAGATTTTCGGTTAAAAGGCACATTTTCTGAGGATTTGGACAATTTGAAGTCAAGGTCTCTAAACAATCGATTGTCATCATCGTCATTTTGGATTAATTGGAGAACTGATTCGTGGTTGCACCTGTACAAGCTAGCCATTCTAAATATATACTGTACGAATAATTCAACCAATTCAGCAGTTTTGCGATCTTCTCGCTTGATTTATCCTCCTCCTCTTTTGGATTCATTTTGAGTCTTTCTAAGTAAATCTGAGAGAATTAAAAATATATATATAAATCTCTTGGCGGACAAATTTTTCTTATCCTTTTCAGTTCACTGTTTGCCACTGAGAAGAATACTGGAGCCTGTCCTTTTTTTATTCTTATTTATTCTAAATATCATTTTCAAACCTGAAAAATTTTCAAGGTCTGAACATGACCTTGGTTGGCTTTGCAGACGCCCAAAGGGTGCAAACGGGCTCCTGTCTGCAGGGGGGCGGCTGCTTAAGTTTCACACCTCATCCCGAGGTGCGAAGATGAGGAGGACGCTTTGATCAGACATGCTGAGCCTGCAGGATCTGACCCCTCCAAAAGAAATTTGCATTTAGAAGGTCAACCTCCACAGGACTTTTCTTTTGGGGATTCCTGCATTGAAGTGCAGGGATTTGCAGATGAGTCAACCTAAACCCCCCCCCCCCAAAAAAAAACCCAAAACACCTTTCGCCTTACTGATTCTTAAAATGTCCACTTTTAAACAGAGGCGTACATTTGGTCAGCCTCTCTCATTCCTTCGGCTTAAATAAAGTAATAATAAATGCAAAAAAATTGAGTGCCATCATCGCTGAAAAAACACTAGTTAAGATTTGCACAAGCACATATTTTTACCAAATATTTTTTTTCTACTAAGTGTTTCTTAAAATGTCATTTTTGAAACAAAAGTCATTCATTTCACTTGAATAATCAAAATTTTTTTCAAATTTGGACAATGTTTTTTGTTTTCTGGTTGCCCCCAAAATTGGAAACTGTTTCTCATGCATGAAAATGATGGAGTCACAAAAAAAAGAAGAAAAAAAGCAAATTTTGGCTTAATTTCTTTATAGTTTATTTCCATACACATTTTTGAGACCAATTTTAAAAAAATCCTCCACCCTGCCAAAACGGTATTTGAAATATTTGCAGTTTTGGTTTTTAAATTTGACCGATAAAAGCTAGCGCAATAGCCTATGCATTTGATCACGTGTTGCAATTTATAGCTAGGCAAAAAAACAAAACAAAAATCCACCTGAACCTAATTGATAAAAGACTACTACGTTCTATACTACATTGCAGTATTATTCGAATGAAAACCTGATATGTGAGAGAAAAAAAAACAAGGGCTAATTCAGAATCAGTGTAAAAAAATGACACTAGAAAAGTTTAGTTGCAGACTGATGAACAAAATATTAACAGCTCAAAGTGGACCGGCGTAATCTGTGAAATCATCCCTCACGAATGACAGTCCCATTTTCATCGCTTTGAACCCTTAGCAGCTACTTGAAACGGCTAACAACGATATGACAGCATCCTACCAGGGGTTATTCAAAGCCCGCACAATGGTCAGCCCTTTCAATTAGGTCAACGTCACATCGCTTAAGTAATCACTCATTCAAGCGCTTGTCGGATTTAAACTAATATGAACAGCTCGTCACGGCGCCAACGAGGCTCCAAGTGGACATTTCACGGTGGTTGATTTGGGGAAACCAAATGAGGATTCCCACATTAGGGAACATGGGGGTGGGGGTTGGGGGGTAGGGGTGTTATGGGGGGGCAGGGGGGATCTAGATGAGCTTCAAAGTGGAGGAAAGGCCTCGTTGTCTCCTTGGTGGCTGCAAAAACCCTAAAATGTCACCTTGTTAAGCAGCGGGCGGGTTGCTGTCACCCACATTTTATAAAGGGGGCAGACAATGGCCAACGGACACTAAAAAGAGAAGTCAACTAACACAGAGGTGCATTGAGCAACATTTTAACAGCTTTTGTCACACTTTGCATCAGTTGAATCAATCAATTGACTTTGTGCTGCCGGCCAGCCACCTTGGCTGCGTATTAAGAATCGGTTGCGCAATACCGATTTTACCGTGCCTTGTCATTTATAGCAAAGCTCTTTCAGAAAAAAGAAATTGCGCCTAATATTATATTATTATGAAAACATGATACACACGTAGTGGCCCGGTAGGTCCAGTGGTTAGCGCATCGACCTCACGGGTTCAATTCCAGCTCCGGCCTCCCTGTGTGGAGTCGACATGTTCTCCCCCGGCCTGCGTGGGTTTTCCCCGGGTACTCCGGTTTCCTCCCACATTCCAAAAACATGCATGGCAGGCTGACTGAACACTCTAAATTGTCCCTAGGCGTGAGTGTGAATGTGGATGGTTGTTCGTCTCTGTGAGCCCTGCGATTGCCTGGCAACCGGTTCAGGGTGTCCCCCGCCGACTGCCCGAAGACGGCTGGGATAGGCTTCAGCACCCCCCGCGACCTTTGTGAGGATGATGCGGATCGGAAAATGAATGAATGATACACATGTACAGAGAATAAAACTGCTTTTCAACTGTGATTTTGGGGGCGTGTATATTAGGTGGTATCCTATATTAGGGACATTACGGTAATTCTTTGCTTTATTTTCAGCTTTACAGGAAAGTAAACGATTTGGGAACGCAGTCACTGCATTCGCAATCAGTCACTCGCTCCCTGATCACGATATGGGAATTTTTATTTTGACATTTCAAGGAAGTATCGAGATTCCTTTTTTTTTCCAGCGACATACATACATTTAAGATTTTAAATGGGATTGAGGAAAAAAAAATACTGCTCGGTAGGCTGTAGACATCAGCAGTTCGCTGTCTTTATTTCACATTATTTACAATCAGAGTGCAAAACCAGAAAAAAAGAATGACAGGGCACACAGCAAAGATGGCCTCACGTTTTCTCCTCCGACGTCACTCACAAAAGTGCGCTTGTGCATTCCAATGACTTTTTCACAGAGGCAGCAAGCAAGAGCCAGGTGAAGTAACAGCAAATCACCAAAGACTTTTACGTCATGAACCACCATGCACTCGAAAATACAGTTAGGTCCAAAATAAGCCAGTCTGGGTCAAATATAGACCAAGACAAACAACCCGGAAATTTGGGTCAAATTGGCCTCAGCAGCTGTTGTAAAAGCGCTACATCAAGAAAGATGGATTGTACTACGTAAGTACTGTAGTGGATTGGTCCATTTTTTTTTTAAACAAATTGGATTATTGTTGACCTGACTGTTTTTAGCGTACGTGACTACTTTTTTTTTTTTTTTTTTTAACCTCCTGACGCTCGCCTCCGGTGTCTCTACTTCAGTGCTTGACAAAATCAGACATAAAAAACTGCACTTTAGTTTTTAAATAAAGCCAGGAAAAAAATATATAGAACACCAACTAGAAAAAAAATGGCAGTCTCCATCATCCCTTTAACTCTCCTGTTGTGTTTCCAGGTCAAATTGAGCATTTGTATGTTTTCAAGTTGAGTTCAAAGACATTTTGGATTTATTTCGATAATGTGGGGAAAATGCCCTGCATTTGATTTTTAATTTGGCTGTGGAAAATGTGAAAACAATGATCAACGCATCAATTTTGGGAATGTAAGAAGATGAGTGAATAGTTTGAAGTTGGAAGGGGCTTGACTCGGACAGGACACATGGAAGGTATTGGGATTAATTTGGAAAATTGTGTAATTGTGGGAAAAGTGAGAATGTGAAAAATAGTTCCTGAGTTGAACATTTGAATCGGGTGAGAAATTAGGAAGGAGGAAAATAAATAATTGGGTGGCCCGGTGGTCGACTAGTTAGTGCGTCGGATTCACAGTGTAGAGATGTGGGGTTCGATTCCAGCTCCGGCCTTCCGATGTGGAATTTGCATGTTCTCCCCGTGCCTGCGTGGGTTTTCTAGTATTTCGGTTTCCTTCCACAGTCCAAAAACATGCCTGGCAGGCGAACGGAACACTTTAAATTGTCCCAAAGTGCGAGTATGAGCGTGGATGGTTGTTTGTCTCTCTGTGCCCTGCGATTTGCTGGCGACCATTTTTTTTCAGGGTGTACCCCGCCTACTGCCTCGAAGTCAGCTTGGATAGGCTCCAGCACGCCCCGCGACCTTTGTGAGGGTAAGCGCATCAGAAACTGGATGGATGGAAGGATAAATGTTTGGGAAGAAAACAAAAACAGGATTTTTTTTTCTTTGACAGCAGGGCAATTTGACCAGCAAAATGACAGGAGGGTTCAAAAAAATTTGTCCAAAAATTATGAGACACATTCAAAGTCTTAACGGCAAGAGGTAGACGCTTAATGTTTTGGAATGAAGAGCGCCCCCAAGCTCCCCTGCCCAGAAAACAACAGATGGTCAGTCACATGTTAAAAAGTCTTGATTTTTCTTTTGTGTGCGTGTGCATTCAGTCGACTATTTGTTTCTGTCTGAGAGCATGCAGATGTGTCGATGATGTCAGAGGGGTCCTCAGGGGGAGGGGTCCTCTGGCAGCCCCCCTCCACCAGGGCCTCCTGCTCGACCAGATCCAAGTCCGGCAGGTCATCAGTGGACGGCGCGTGGATGGCACCGTCGCAACACGAGCACACCTGGATGACGACGACGACAACAACGGACATATTGGCCACTTCATTAGGGACACGTTTGATCAATTACATGCTTGATGATTTTTTTCTTTTTTTTTTAATTACCAATTCATCCAAATGTTTTTCCTATAAATTGTTGGTTATTGGTGAAATATATTCTTGAGTTTTATATAACCATGTGAAGACATTTTATATTTTTATCCAATACTTTGATGTACTTTGTGTGGGTATTTATTTAATATATACTTTCAAGTTTGTTTTTATTTAATATATAGATTCAATTCATTAATAAGTAATGCTGCAGTATAGTTAGACTAATTGTGTTACCACATACCAAAGTTCAACAGCTTCATTTAAAGTATTTTAATTCATCAGTGCTGCTCTTTACACTGGTTTAGACATTGTTTCTATAATATTAATACCAGAGTCCATGTGTGAATATAGCTGCCGAGGCAATTCATAAATCTCCGGTACGTATGCATCCGAAATCTGACCGTGCAAATTCAAAATGATTTTCTTGAGTTACGCAGCGCACCTTGACCTCCAGGACTTTGGGCAGGCCGCCCTTCTTCATCCAGGGGTGCACCTGCATCAACTCCTTCTTCTGCTCCTCCGTGAAGCTCGGCTGACTCTTCTGCATCAGCCGCAGCTTCTCGCGGTCCTCCTTGAGAACCTTCTGGATGTCGCTGTCAACAAGAAAAAAACCGCAAAAATCACATTTCATTCCGCCGAAAACGTTTGAATGAGTGATGTCCCGATCTGATCACGTGATTTTCAGCTGAGCCAGTATCGGGTGGAAACAAAAAAATATATTGTTGTATTCTTTTTTTATTATATTTAAATGTCAAAAAGGTACAAAATAATACATATGTGCAAATATCTTGCCAAATTGAACAGGACCAGCTGAATTTTGCAATGTTATGTATTTATTTATTTATTTGTTTATTTTAGTAGCAGTTAGTGTGACACGCACACCCCCACAGACACATACGTCTCTTCCGCTACGCGCAGCTCTCCTGCAGGCAGAAAGAGAGCGGTGGATTTGTCTTTATATATTCTTTGGAGGGAGAAGAATAGAGCTGCCTTCCCTCTTCAAGTAAAGAAGCCTCCTCGCTAAACGGCATCGTCAAGGAGTTGAGGGAGCCGAGAGTGTGACAGACGATCTTAGCGATTGTGACACTCCAAACGACATTTCTTCAAATAGCAGTTTCACGAGTGTCAATTATTTAGTGACGAGTGCGCTTGTTCCCCATTGGTTGCGTTTATAAATCAATAGTGACGTTTCGAGATGAGCGAAGTTGTGCAAGTACCCACTTGTCAAAATAAACTGACGGTTCGGTTGTTGGGGGTTTGTCCAGAGTTATTGCAGTTCACGCTGAATGCCACGAGGGGGCAGCAGGTCGCTGTGCTCAAATGGGGGGATTGCTTCTCTTGGGCAGAGTTGAAATTTGCGAAGGTACCTTCGTGTGCCGAATGACCACGTATTCGTACTTACACAAAGTTTCCATGGCAGGGTTCGGGTTTCGAACTCGTGCTCAGGTTTCAAAGGATTCAGGGCTCAAAACAGGGTTCGGGTTTGAAAATTCTAACTTGGTTTTCAAGTTTGGGTTTTAAGATAGGGTGAAGGGTTTCAAGCTAGGGTTAGTTTCTCAAAATAGGGTTTAAAGTTTACGTCAGTTAAAACCTCTAATATTGGTTTCAAATGAAGCATTTACAGAGGCTTATGGTTTCAAACGAAAGTTCACTTTTCAAATTAGGGTTTCCAGAAAGGGTTAGGGCTTCAAAGTAGAGTTTTCAATTTACAGTTTCAAGGCAGGTTTCAGGTTCCAAACTCCAGCTAAAATTTCCCAAGACCGTTTTAAGACAGGTTTACGGTTTCACAGTACAATAAAGTTCTCAAAATAGAGTTTCACGATAGAATTACAATTCCAAATTAGGTTTTAAGACAGGGTTTCAAATGAAGGATCCGTCCAGAGGTAGAGTCGCAAATCACGGTTTCAAGCTGAAGTTAAGAGTTTTGGGTTTGAAGATAGAGACAGTTTGAAATTGGAAGTGTGCGCTCACCGTGAGGGCAGCTGATAGGTCATCATGACTTTGTCATCGGCCTTGGCCATGAGGAGCCAAACGGGATCTTGGAGGATGTAGTTGACGAAGCGCTCGCTGGGCTCCATCTCGCTGCCGCTCGAGTGACCTTTGACATTTTGGCTCTTCTGCGACGAGTCCACGCTGCCAAAGTATTTGCTGCTGTTGCTACCTGAAGGCCCAACACAGGAGTACAATCACAAGTTAATCAAGGTCATACAGTCAATAATTCAATGCAATAAAATGATGTACATGCTTCGTCGTAAATAAATGATCTTTTTGGTGGCAAATGACATGAAGTAGGATCATTTGGGCCAAACCCAGAACCCACCTTCCACACTTGCGGAGATCCCGCTGGCCGACGCTCTGCTGTTGGACGTCCCGCTGGCCGAGGTGCCGCAGCCGTTGGAGCGAGATCGCACGGACCCCGAGGTGGCCGAGCCGCTGCCCGAACACGAGTCCTCCTGCAGGATGATGTCCAGCATGTCGCTCGACGATGAGTTGTTGTCGCTGTTGTTGCAGTCGCCGCGAGAACTCGCCTAGGGGCCCGAGAGACACACCCAGAAGTATGTGTTCGCGTAAACACAGAGCAGCACAGGCTTACTAACATAAACCATGACAATGGATACGCATGTGCTGGCTTTGCAGTAAGGCACAGGGGCTCATGTTCATTTCGGGGGGTCTTGGTAACACACACACACACACACATATACACACACACACATACACACACACACACATACATACACACAAAAACACACGGATGATCAGACGCTGAGTGACAATGTCGACATCTCGGTGCTGCATCCTAAAATTACAAGTCAATGGAAATACGTACATTGAGTGCTGCTTTTAATGTGTGTGTGGGTGTGTAAAAAGGTCCTGAGCATCCAGCAAATGTGTAATTAAATGAATGTGTGCCCACATTTTATTTTTTTATTTTTGATAGATCGGACATTATTATTTGGAGATGAAGTATTTCAAATAAACAAAACAAAAAAACATTTAACACCTGTTTCAGATCATCGGATCATCTGCAAGCTCTGCAGAAGCCGGATAATGATCGTGATCACTTGAATCAGATGTGTTGGAGGAGATCTTGAGAACCGGTCTTGGGCCCCCACTAAATTAATTTCTGCATTTTAATTTGCCAATTTTGGGTGGGGGTGGACTACCGAAACCAATGCAACAAATACTTTATACTACTGGACCAAATGTAAATGCCCAGTGGGCAGATAAAATACAGTGGGGCACACACACACCATTCATTTGCAGTCTGGACGCAGAGGCGTGAACATCTCCAGCGTCTCTTTCCCCTCCCCCCAAAAAGCGAGATTTGTATCTTATCGCTTTCTTGAAATGTAGTTGCCCACCTCTATGGTTGCATTAGCTATTGGTGGATCTGCAAAATTCATTTGCAGTCTGGACGCTGAGGAGTGTAAACATTTCCCGCTTTAGAGTCTCAGTGTCTACAGAAGTCTCCAAAAAGACACTACATTTTTTTGAATGGGTGGATTGGAGTGGTGGCTTTGCGCCATTCATTTGCAGCCTGGATGCCAAGGGGGTAAACATCACCTGCTCTGAAAGAAGTCTGAGTCTTCAATGACACCATAAAAAGCCACTAAGTGTTTTACTAGTAGAACGGAAAATAAAATTAGCAAGTAGTGCGTGACAAAGAAAAACACATTCATGCCATCGTTCATAAGAACAGCACGGAACAATAATTCCCTGTCAAATAATCTACAGAGATGGGCATTCCGTCCCTGGGACGGAATGGTCCGTCCATCTGTCCCGGACGGACGCCCATTTTGGGGTTGGAGGATGAGAAGGTTTTTTTTCCAAACGGACGCACTAAGCAAGGATGGAAGTGGGTTTTTATCCGGCCCTTTATTCGTCCCTAACCGGGTTAAGTATGTGGTGTCAGGAGGCAAAATTAGGCCAGAGTGTAGCCAACCACTAGATTTTCATTTCAGGCTATGAACAGGACAACACGAGTTTGCGTGACTCACTTAGTCGCTTTTACAGAACCTTCCTTTTTCATCTCAACGTGTTTTTAGAGCAACACTGCCACCTAGTGTACAGTCAGAGAACATAAAGTATCGACAGACTCCCATTTCACAAAGGATCAATCCAGCCAGTAAAGAAAGCTGGCTGTGCTGTATGTCTCTCGGTGCCTGACCACCAAGACCCCCCCGGCAGCGTTTTAAAATGACGAGGGCGATGACGGGAGGGTATCCAGACTGAGGACGGACCGGCAAAATAGGGTAAAGTGCCCATCTCTGATAATCTACAAGCACAAAAGTGCATTTCTTACCGTTCTGACATTTCTAAATGAACACTGTCAGACCATTTTAGCAACAATACAAGTCCTACAAGAGATGCTAATCTTCTTCATGGCAGTTTACCGTCCCATGAAATGTCTTCAACTACGAAGAAGAGGTTGTGGGGCATAAATCAAGAGTTTACAGCAGAAGTCAACAACGTTTGGGTGAGATGGGCAAAAGCGATATAGTTGAGAGCTTTCACGGACATATGGAATTTGAGCGGGAATGGGATTGGACAAGGATGGAAGCTTTTCGGACGGTCAGCCTACCTCACTGCTGCAAGCCCTCAGCCTAGAAGAGAACATGCCTTTATCCCAAGACAAACGCTCACAGACATGGATCGTGCCCTCGCAATACAACGGTCCAGGTGGACCAAGGAGACTGAGAGATGGCTAAAGGGTGTAAGGCATAATACATCACGTGTTAACACCCACATGGAGCTCGGGACCAAATTTGGCTTTTACACAGCACAGAAATCTGACAGTCACTTCAGTGAGAGGTGGAAAGTTTCTCACGGGCTCAGCAGGCCCAACATTGGTGACTTGCAGGCAGGTACGTACACACCAAGAATGGCTACATACAGTGTTCCCCGCTATATCGCAGAAATAGGCGGTTTGAAGCGACTTTTTTTTAGGGGTCTTTACAGTTTACAATGTGGTTAAAAAAGTGAGTTTCAAGAAGTTGAAATATTTTGAAAGCATGTGAGAGGGACGGAACACCCCCCCCCTCCCCCGATATGCTCAATATAAGCAGATTTTCCCCATATGTGGGTGGGTCTGAAAAATAGCCCCCGCGATGTAGCGGGGGTAACTGCATTGAGGGAGTTGCGGAGGGCAAAGTTCTGCTGTTTCCTTACATACCTGATTCAGTTCTTTGGCCTGGGGGGTCCCTGCCGCCCCTTTCTCCCGTTCGGCCACATTGCCGCCTTGTCCCGCGGAGGGCAACGTTGTGCCGTCCTGCCGGTCCCCGGAGAGCTTCAACTCCAAGAGGTTCAGAGGAGAACTGCAGCGGGACTGGAACAGCGGCGGCGAAGCGGACTGTGGCGTGGAGGCACGAGACTGGCCCGCCACCACCGGGACCTTGGGAACTTCTGAAGTGGCCGGGGGGAAGTAGAACGACGGCGCCACGTAGCCCATTTGAGGGGTAAAGGGGCTCTGAGGGTTGAACGGGGCAGGAGTCATTATGGTCGCTTGTCCCGGAAAGGCGGGCTGGGCGTAAGGTTGGGCTTGGATGGGGAAAGCATCAGTCCCCAGCTGGTACGCCGGCTGCGGAGGTCCGGGACCCAAGGCTGGGTAAAGGTAATTCGGCAGCACAAGAGCCATGATGGGAGCCACCATCGGTGCTGTGTAGGGCGAATGAGGGACTCCTGGTGGGCAGGGAGGAGCCCCTTGTTTGTCACCGAAACATTGCAGAGGGGTGTTCACGTGGGGCGCAACAGAAGCGTCTCTGGGGAAAACCTGGAGGGGGTACCCTGGGTAGGCTACGGGCAACATGGACTGCGACGTGTCGGAAACGGACCAGGATGTGGGGTTGAGGGCTTGGTTCAGCGGGGGACCTCGCGGCTGCTGGTGCCTCGGATAAGACGCGGTGCTGTCCGAGGACTCGGTCTGCTTGGCTCGCTTGGATTTGGTCTTTCTGTTGCGTGCGCTGCGCCGCGCCGCGTTGTGCTCAGACCCGAGGCCGTTTTGCTTCCTATGCTGGGCGGCTTGTGCACCTGGGAGGAAGGAAATCAACAGCCCGTCAAGTTTTTTTTTTGAACTATAAATGCTCATACGTCAGCTCATTGAGTGATGCTTGATTTTTTTTTCTTTTTTTTTTCATTTTTGTTACCATCAGTGTTTTTCTCTCTCTGCCGCTCCAGGTACTGCGAACAGTTGGCCTTGAGGGCAGTGAGCCTGCGCAATTCCTTGAAGCGAATCAGGAAGCTCTGCTCTTCCTTCTGCGTGTGGGCTGCCAAAACCTGCTTGGTCAAACCCAGTTTCCTGTACGACTCCCTTTCTTGGCCCCGAGGCGAAACACCCCAAGATGGAGGCGCCTGTGCCGGGTTGTGGCTGCATTCTGCCACTTCACCCCCGC